CTGGGCTAGGATCTACAGGAGGAGTTTTTCTTGGAGATTGGGAGTCTCTCTACCTTGAGCAGCGGTAAACATAAACAAACTCGTTGATGTGTTCCTCAAACTATCCTGCTGAAAGAGGCCACTCACTGCCATCAGGGAATACCATTTTCATGAAGGAGTGTACAGCAACAATGTTTAGATAGGTGGTGCTTGTAATGTAACATCCACATGAATGGCAGGACCCAAGGTTTACCAATACAATATTGCCCAAAGCATTACACTACCTCTTTCTGTTTGCCTTCTTTCCATATTGCATCCTGGTGCCATCTCTTCCCCAAGTAAGTGATGCACAGGCGCATGGCAATCCACACGTTATATAAGAAAACATGATTCATCAGATCAGGCCTACTTCTTCCATTACTCTGTGGTCCAGTTCTGATGCTCACATGCCCATTGTAAATGCTCTTGTGGACAAAGGTCTGCATGGGCACTCTGACTGGTCTGCAGCAATGCAGCCCCAAACACAACAATCCATGATGCCCATTTGTTTTGCTTTCAATGCATCAGTTTCATGAACAACATGTTTACTTGCTGCCTAATATATCCCACCAATGTTCAGATGCCAAAAGAACAGAAAAAAAAATTATATTTGTTTATGCAGCTCAGTGGAAGATTTAAGTCCCTGGAATTCTTAAAAACCGGTGTAGACAAATTTTGCAAAAGGGTAAAACTGGTGACGAATGAGCCAAATTCATGTACCTGTTTAGATATTGTACTTGAATTCGGCTCATGCTGTGCCACTTTTAGAATGCATAAGAGACACTTTTACAGAATTTATCTGAGTCAGTTTTTCTCTCTGTATGCCAAAAGAGAGTTGGTCTTAATAAGCTCCACTTTTACATTTGGCGCATTCAGCGCAACATAATGTAAAGGTGACACATTTTAGAACTATGAGAATTTGGTACACAAGTAGCTGTCATAACCAAAAGCTAAAATTGGTGCAAATGCTTTTTGAATTTGGCTCAATACATTAACAAGAGGGATTACCTTTAGAAAAGTGGTGAATGCAGGGAGTGCATTATTGGTAGCTGGTTGCTATGGTGTTAAAGACCACACTAGTTCACTGTTTTTCTGAACTGGGAACAAGTTGGGTTTGCCTCAAACCCATGTTTGACCTAAGCCCAAAGCTCACCTTTAATGCCTAGGTACTCTTTTGTCTACAGTCTTATAGCTCTATATTTGCAGTTTGAGATCTAAGGTGCTTCTACTTCTGACTGCTATTGTAAAGAGATTTGAGGGTTAATTTACTAAAACTGGAGAGTGCAAAATCTCTCATAGAAACCGTCAACTTCCAGTTTTTGTTTTGTTGTTGTCAAAGCTTCATTGAACAAGCTGGAGTTAGTTGATTGGCTACCATTCACAGCTGCACCAGATTTTGCACTCTCCAGTTTTTGTAAATCCACCCCTTGGATTAGGATGATAATGCCATTACTTTTCTGCTCACTGTTCTCCTGTAGTAATATGGAAAGATCAGCTGCAGGGAGCCTACAAGTAATACTATGACTAATGCTTTGTCTTTTGCCTGGCTTTTTGGGTGCAGATTCCAGAATTCAGATCAGTGCACTTAGAAATAGTTTTATACAGTCTGTGATAACTAACTTTAATACTGAAAACAATGATTAAGAATCAACTTTATTTTGAGTTTCCTTTTCTAGGGCTTTCACAAATTCATTGTACACTTTTATAGGCATATTTTGATTTTCAGCAGTTTCACCTAAAATGTTTTTGTATGCACATCTATGAAATAATTAATCAAGGGACTTAAAATTAGCTGTAATTTTTGTTCAGAGAGTCCCTGTTAAGTGTAGCAGATGGTGTTGGTACTGCCAGTAATACAGCAGCAGATGCTGCACTGTTTTCAGAGCTTACATCGTTAATGAGAAATCTCAAGACTGTATGTGGCTGTGCTTCTAGCATACTCCGATTTACTCTGTCTGTATAAATGTGTTTACTAGTTGCTGTTGAGACAAATCTATTACACATATATCCCTAAGCACATTTCATTTTAAATGGTTATGCATTATTTCAAATTTGTGCTATACCACCCTCCTGGCAAACTGGCAAGCCAAGCAAAACATCATCCCTGTCTACAGTGAGGCAATGAGTGTAAGTTAGTAATTACTTTTTTTTTCTCCCTTCTTGCTAATCTCCTTGTGCTATACCTGGAATTGATTGCTTCAGGAAAATCTGCATTTTGTCCAAAAATCATATTTTGAAACAATCTGAAGACAAAAATTCATTAAAGGAATCCTGTCATTAGAAAAAATGGTCTGCCATGCCTTACCTCCTTCTGGAAATTCTAGTTGGCTGGCTGTTGTTCTGATCCTCTGATCACATGGCTTTTTAGGTCGCTGCCCTAAAACAAGTATGCAACAAGTTAGAGCATAATTAGATCTCCTGATTTTGAAACTGAGAAAACTAAAAATTAAGAAATATTGAAGAAAAAAGATAAACCCAACAACCAAGCTACTAGCATTTTAAAAAAAGGTGGCCAATGATGGCCTATATATACACTGTAACTCTCTTGACAGAGATCCTTTAAAAAGACAGAAACATTTTTAAAATAATGGCAATAAAAACTGTTGGTCTATTAACACGCTTACCCTTACCGCAGATGGTCAGGCATTACAGCTGGCTTCTGTGTTTTTCACCTATAGCAGCCCCTTTCCCATAAGGCAGGCAGTCCTACCATTACTTGGTTTCCCCCAGGACCTATACACAATAGTGCTTGGCTAACTCTCCAGGACAAGCACAAAGTGAACACAGCAGACAGTATTTGCAGTTTGCAGATAGACAGAGTGGTTCACTTACAGTCTAGGTACAAGGCAGGCAAAATTCAGAATAGTCATGGTCAAATCCATAGTCAAAAGGCAGGCAGAGTTCAGAGACTAGTCAATATCCAATCTGAGGTTGTCAACCAGGGAATCCAAAACTAGCAGGCACAGGAACAGGGCAGACAATCAGGGAGCTTGGAGCACATGTTAAAAAATGCAATATCACAAGCATTAGACTGCAGACTTGGCTGGTTTAAATCAGGATTGATCTTCACCCAGAGACTGGCCACATCTTAAATGCTACATAATCCTGACATCTATAAAATATTTTTCTGTGTAGTCAACACTTGGCTATGCTAGTGCTCTCTATAATTTATAGCTACTGGGTGGTTGTGGCAAGTGATGCTCCTTGCCCGCTCTCACCTTGCCCAGATGTAAAAAATATTCCAGAAATTATATTGTCATTCTGCTGGGACCACAAAGTAAGATAAGACTGTTGCTTGAGGTCTATAGGCTTGTAGTATACAGTGGCACATGGGAAAGTAACAGTTAGTGCAATGGGCAATCTGTGACAATGTTTTTGCAGAAATTCATGAAAATGTTTGGAACAATAATAATAATTGCCATTATGAACTCAGTTTTTGAAAGACTGAGTTTTAGGAAATGGTTTGATATCCATAGTGGCATGTCAGGTTAGGTGTTAAGAGACAAATCTGAGGGGTGAATCACATTCTTGCACTATATATACTATATTGCACATTAAATATTCCTGTTAAACAGTCCCTGAATATATTTTAAGGTAGGCTTTGACAAGCGTTCTTTGTGCTGAGGTTTATACATGTCTGGGAGACTCTTACTTGTGGCACAGCAATCTAAGCATATTTTATGGGTACAAGACGTTTTATTTAACCATGCCCTTTAAGCCCCTCCCACTGTTAACACCATTTGGCCATACCCACTGTTTGCTGCATTGCTCTGCTCTGTTGTGCCAAAAGGTGCACCAGGTCTTTAATAATCCTAGAAATACCCCTGGCACAATGAAAACCATGCCCACTCTTCTCTATGGCACACTAAGCACATAAAGCAATGGAGCCCAACTTATGATCTTGCACACAGGTCCACTGATTTCATAAAAAAAAACCTCACACAGACACACAGACACACACATACACACTCAGGATGAGTGAATGGACTGATAACTGTATTCAACCTTACTAAATTGAAGACAGTAAGACATTGTAACATACCACTCAAAAAACAATATTATCTAAAAGCAGATCATAAACTAAGAGTTAAATATGTGCATACAAGTGGATATAAAATGTTATTCAATGAACCAGACCCATGCACAGAGACCATGATGAAATAATTTTGTCACTAAAAAAATTTATCTAAAGTATTCTCGAAGTTAAGGAATGACTAAAAATAGATGTACCTAAATATTACTAAATTACTCCCAGAAAAAAAATTAATCTTAACACCCTAAAAACTATTTGGACCCCAAAAAGTAATGGCTGGGAAACAATATGCCTAGGTTCTACTTATATTGTTCTGTAAGGAAACCCCCCTGGGTTTGGTTTGAGCAGGGTATGATGAACTTCAAATGAAGTTCTGATGTTGAAACTGAACCTCATTGCAGTCATTGGGAGCAGAATCTGACAAATCAAAAGTGCCCATGTTCTGGGCTAATAGGCAAAAGGTTGTCAAAAATAGCATGGGGCATGGACACTATCCTTGTGAATATGCATCTTTGCAAAAATAATGTTAAAAAAATTGTTCACCCGGTAGCATTCATTTTTAAAGCACTGACATTTACAAAGTAAAAAGTGTTTTAAAGGATAAGCTCACCTTTTAGAAAAAGAAAATAAATGCACATTTTTTTGCAGGTAAAAAAATGTGCATTTATTACTATGTCTGCAGAAGCCTGTAAACCATTGCACCAGCGATAAACAGATCACTGGTGCCATGCTGGTCTCCTGCAGATCTGTCAGTATATCTGCTTGCCCGTATGGGATGTACAGGCAAGCAGATATACTGACAGGAAGAATGAATGAACTACTACAGTGATTCACAGCATCGTGGTAGTTTGATGAGGACTACAAGTTGATAGCCGCTAAGGCCGTTGGGACTTGTAGTCTCTCATTTACAGATGACTGTAAATGAGTGACGTGAATATGTGGGTGGAGCCAGTGGTGTATTTTGGTTTTGTGCTGCCCTAGGCAAGACCAGGGAGGAATAGTGCCCCATCGTTGGTGTGAGTGGGGGGGGGATAGTGCCCCATCGTTGGTGTCAGTGGGGGGGAATAGTGCCCCATCGTTGGTGTCAGTGGGGGGGAATAGTTCCCCATCGTTGGTGTCAGTGGGGGGAGGAATAGTGCCCCATCGTTGGGGTCAGTGGGGGGAATAGTGCCCCATCGTTGATGTCAGTGGGGGGAGGAATAGTGCCCTATCGTTGGTGCCAGTGGGGGAGGAATAGTGCCCCATCGTTGGTGTAAGTGGGGGGAGGAATAGTGCCCCATCATTGGTGTCAATGGGGGGAGGAATAGTGCCCCATCGTTGGTGTCAGTGGGGGGAGGAATAGTGCCCCATCATTGGTGTCAGTGGGGGGAGAAATAGTGCCCTATAGTTGGTGTCAGTGGGGGGAGGAATAGTGCCCCATCATTGGTTTCAGTGGGGGGAGGAATAGTGCCCCATTGTTGGTGTCAGTGGGGGGAGGAATAGTGCCCCATCGTTGGTGTCAGTGGGGGGAGGAATAGTGCCCCATCGTTGGTGTCAGTGGGGGGGAATAGTGCCCCATCCTTGGTGTCAGTGGAAAGAATAGTGCCCTATCATTGGTATCAGTGGGAGGAATAGTGCCCCATCGTTGGTGTCAGTTGGGGGGGGGGAAATAGTGCCCCATCGTTGGTGTCAATGGAAAGAATAGTGCCCTATCATTGGTATCAGTGGGATGAATAGTGCCCCATCATTGGTGTCAGTGGGAGGAATAGTGCACCATCATTGGAGTCAGTGGGAGGAATAGTGCCCCATCATTGGTGTCAGTGGGGGGGAATAGTGCCCCATCATTGGTGTCAGTGGGGGGGAATAGTACCCCATCATTGGTGTCAGTGGGGGAGGAATAGTGCCCCATCGATGGTGTCAGTGGGGGGGAATAGTGCCCCATTGTTGGTGTCAGTGGGGGGAGGAATTGTGCCCCATCGATGGTGTCAGTGGGGGAGGAATAGTGCCCCATCGTTGGTGTCAGTGGGGGGGGGGGGAATAGTGCCCCATCATTGGTGTCAGTGGGGAGGGAATAGTGCCCCATCATTGGTGTCAGTGGGAGGAATAGTGCCCCATCATTGGTATTAGTGACACCAATGATGGGGCACTATTCCTCCCACTGACACCAAGGATACTTACCTTTCTGACCCCTGCCCCAGCCTGGGCTCACTCCCTCTCCCATCCACAGCCAGCATACCTGTCTGCAGCAGCATCATCTGCAAGGCACAGACACTTACTGTACCTGTCAGCCGTCTTCCTTCTCCCTCACTGGATCTTCTTTGATCTTTTCGCTGCTGCTCGGCTCCTCCTCTCCAAGCTCCGCCTCCTCGCCAGTGATTGGCCACCTGTGTGCCTTTCCTGAGCTACAGTTCCGGCAGCCAATCACCAGCGAGGAGGCGGAGCTTGCAGAAGGAGGGACAAGCTGCCATAGTCTGTTGAGTGATCCTGGGGGGTGTGACCAAATGACAGGGTCGCATGTGATCCCGCCCACACATCACAATCCAGGGAACTGAAGACACCAGACCTGCTGACCTGACAACTTCTCTACCCCTTCTCCAGCAGCACCTCGTGGACCGGATCGACGTGGGACTGAGACACGGAGTCGCAGACCCAGGTAAGGTACAGCAGCCCGCCCCTGTACTAAGTGTCCCTTCCGTGGGAAAGGGGGGGCGGTGTTGCCGCCCCCTAAAAAGTTGCGCCCTAGGCAAGCCTAGCTTGTACCTATTCACTAAAGCCATAGGCAACTTCTTGTCCTGGATCAGAGTCCAATCCATGCCTTGCCATTTCCTCTGTGTTGCATCACAAATGTTAAAGTACTAATGTGGTTGAAACACATCTCTTTCACCACAGTGATCTCTGCCTGTTTGTTTCTGTATCAGATCTAATTGCCTTGTTTTTACACAAAGTGTCAGTGCACACAAAGGAAGATCATGCATTAAACTGATCACTGCTATAATGCACACATCATGTTTTAACATAAACAGAAACTGTTGGGAATGTGAAGATTTACTCTAACTTAGGCTGTGTGTGGATAACCAGTAAAGGACTATGGAGGTCGTGGAGTCAGGGGTGTCCTGAGTTTCCCCTCCTCCTCCTCCCAATTGGATGATTTTTGCACTGTTGATCTCCTATTATTTGGAGATCATTACTCTTGGCAATGTAATTGGCACACTTGTCTGTGATGTGGTTTAGGATTGTTATATGTGAGCTTTTATCACTTTTTTTAATTTAATTTTTTATTGAGTTTTAAAGGTCATACAACAAACAAAATGTTGCATAGAGATGTGAAATAACAGGCACAAATCAACAAAAGAAATCCATGGAGTGCATATACATATAACGTCAGTGCATAACAGTGGATTAGCCAGAATTATCAGACATCTGAGTAGACATATTAGAAATGAAAAGGTACCATGGTTCCCAAACTGCTTCAAAAAGGAGGACAAAGTTAGCATGCATAGCAGTGAGGTACTTCATTCTTCTAATCTCAGCAATAACCTTCACCAATTCTGACCACATAGGAGCCATAGTAGATAGTCAATGATAGGAATGGTTCTCCTGGCCACTGTTAAAACATGTAAAGGGCAGGCCCAATAAAAAGTGAATGGGATCAAATGAGATATGGACCTGTAGAAGTAGCCACAAAAGGCCAAGGACCTCTCTCCAGAAAGATGCAGTGTTGTCAAAGCCAGAAAATGTGGAAAAGAGTGCCAATTTCCTCGCCACATTGCCAGCAGACAGGAGAAACACTCGGATTGCGAGCATGGAGAACCTCAGGGGTTTTATACCAAAACATCAAAATTTTATGTTTTCTTTATATACCACACATATAGAAGACCTAGAGGCAACCTCCCAGATCCTGCTCCATTGATCTAAGGGGATATCTTGTTGAAGGATTCAGAGCCACTTTTGCATATAAAAGGTGTGTATCAGAAGAAAGGGGACAGGCATCTTGAAGCAACTTATAGATAGAGGAAATTAGGCCCCATTGGTATGGACCCTGAATGCAGATGTGTTCGAAAAGGGTAGGCTTTTTTAGGGTCAGGGAGGGAATCTTGGAAGAGAAGAAGTGTTGTATCTGTAGGTAGACATAATACTGATGAGGAGGCAGGTGTGCAGCTTTTTGCAACTCAAAAAAGGGTCTAAGCTTTCGGGTCCACCCAGTTACGAAGTTGAAATAGGTTGGCCTTGGCCCAGGGACTTATACTGGCTGGGGCCAAACTATCATGGAGACTAGGATTAAGTATGACATTGGTCAGAGGTGAACAAAGAGGGGACAAGTCAAATCTGCCCCTGCAATGCCTCTATATAGACAATCTAAAATGCATGGGCTTGAGCAGTAGATGCTTATGGGAGGCAATTTCAGTGTTGGTCATAGACCAGAGTAGAGAACAAGAGTGCAATGGACACAGTTGCAGCCATTCAATCTCAAACCATTTATTAGAGGGACACTGAGAGGACCATGAGACAAGAGTACAGAGGTGAGTGGCCAAATAATACTACACAAGGTCTGGAGCCACCAGACCCCCCCCCCCCCCAGATTGAGGTGAGAGAAGGACTGTACGGGCAATTCGGTGAGTTTTATTATGCCAGATAAAGTGGAGGAAGGATTTCTGAAGGGAATGTAGCTTGGACATGGGAATAGGGACAGGAAGCGTCTCAAACAGGTACACACGCTTGGTCAGTATAGTCATTTTTAGTGCATTAATCCTTCCGAGAGGGAGGTGTTGGCAAGGTTGTCCCAAAATTTTAAGGAATGAGAAATAGCGTGAAAAAGGGGGGATAAATTAGCCTCATAAAAGGGAATTGTATGAGGAGGTAAGGTTGGTACCTAAATACCTCAGAGTGGGGGCACCAGCGATAGGGATAATTTAACTGAAGAGAAGATAAAGTGGCAGGAGGTATATGGAGCAGTAATGCTTCAGTTTTAGATGCGTTAAACTTATAACCTGAGAGGGCACCAAAGAGCTGAAGAGTACGATACAGAACAGGGAGAGTAGTGTGGGGCTCCGTCAGTGTTAACAAGATATCATCAGCGAACAAAGACAGCTTAAAATCACTATTGTGGGTGCGTATCCCATAGATATCAGGGTTGGATCTAATGGCTATAGCCAGGGGTTCCAAACAGAGGATAAACAGTAAGGTGGAAAGAGGGCACCCCTGGCGTGTTCCATTAGACATTTGAAAATAAGGCAATAAGAATGAGGCCAATTTGAACTGGGAAGAGGGAGTGGAATAGAGAGCTTTAAAAGCAGCCACAAGCTAAGCCCAAATCTATCTAAGACGAGAAACATATCAGGCCAACTTAATCGGTCAAACACTTTTTGGGCATCCAAGCTCAACAAGAGAGTAAGATCGATCAAGTCAATGGTCCTCCTAGTGTTATCTCAAGCATGTTTAGCCGGGACAAAGCCCACCTGGTCTCTGTGTATAAGCTTGGAGATACATTTGGCCAATCTGTTGGCCAGTATTTTCATAAAGATTTTGTAGTCAGAGTTTAGTAAGGCTATGGGGTGATAGTTATCAGGAAGGGAATGGTCCTGGTCTGGTTTTGGAATCACAGAGATGTAGGAGTGTGTACAATCATTGTGCGGGTGAGACCCCTGCAGAAGTTAGAAGATGAGGGGCTAAGATGCCAATAAAGGACTTGTAATATGAGTAGGGAAGACCGTCCAGTCTTGGGGACTTGTGAGTGGGAAGGTGTTTAACAACATCCAATAATGTTCGATGGAAATTTCTGTGTTCAAAGCTGTAACATCGGAGGGTAATAAATGCGGTAAATGTAAGGAGTCAAAAAAAGGCGTCAAAAGTGGAGGGGAGGATGAGTATCAGGGTCAAGGCAATTATAAAGCTTCTCATAGTATTCCCCAAATATTGTAGCCATTACATGCAGGGTCATATGTGGGCTTGTCATCTGACTGAAGTAAATGGCCCGGTTAGGAAGGGGACGTTTGGGATTTAAGTCTATTCACGAGCATACGGTGTGGTTTGTTCGAGAACTCATAAAATGTTTGTTTAGCCCAGGCAACAGACCAAGCTGTTTTATGTAGATCAAGTGCCCTGACTTGATCATGTATATGGGAGATTTTCTGTAACTGAGGTATAGATGACCTATCAAGCAATCGACGTTCCGCTGTGGATAATTGGGTAAAAGGGATTACCTGGCGCAAACAGAGGCCTTTTTTAAATGGGCGCCCATGGAAATACAGAGGCCTCCAATGATGGCCTTATGGGCCTCCCAGAGGGTAGAAGATGAAAATACTGAGCCAACGTTGAAGTGAAAATAAGCATCCAGACCTCAAGAGAGTATCTCTCAAAGTTGAATATAATATAAGGTAACGCGCTCTATTTAGTACTAATGGTTGCTTACTCACTTATGGTGGTGACTATGTACTCTCTACAGTATAGTCATGAACAGTTTATAATATGATGAAATGAGATAGCATATCTCTATAGTTAATAATACTAAAGAAACTAATAAATTAATTATTGTGATATTATCTGTGAAAAACAGAAGAAATAAATGAAATAAATGTATTCACCTAATTAATTTTGAAAATTTCAAATTATGTATGCTACTTGAAAATATACACTCATTAATTATAAAATAATAGAAAAATGAGACAAAAATAAAAATAAAAAATGTATATAGAAAAATAAAAAAAAATATAATAATGTATATTATATTAATGATGAAAATATATTGTGAATAAAAGTTCCAATAAAAAATGTTTTTTTTTTTATTAAAAAAAGTCTTAACCAACTTTGTGCAGAGTTCAACGAAATAGTTAATGCGATGTGCTCTCTTCCCAAACAGCCTGCTGATTTATTGGTGTATTCTGTGTAGAGAAGATACTTTAGTGTTAGCCTAATGACAGGCAGGACTCTCCCTCCTTGGAGCGCTCCTTATTCCTGCTCTCCGTTATTCCTCATTTTAGCCATGTAAAAAGAAAAATGACATAGTGTCTTATCATAGATAAACAGTGGATTTTATTAACTAGTTGCCGACCGCAGATAGCCGAATGACGGCTAAACTGCGGCCGGCCAGTTCTGAGTGGACGTCATATGACGTCCTCCCAGAACGCGCTCTCCTGCGCGCCCCAGGGGGCGCGCACACGGCGATCTCCGTGATCGC